GTATTAGCTTTGTTCCTCTTAAAGCACTGTAGGTATCCAACACATGGGGAGTAGGGATGGGGGAAGGTCTCTAAGAATGTTGGGACTCTGGTTAAGGCATTTCATCAACAGGTTCGATAGCAAAGCTAGCTGCCTGTCTAAAAACACTCACAGAGTGAAATGAGTCAGAAGGAGAGGGACAGGTATAGAATGACTGCATTCATTTGTGGGATATAAAATATATACAGCATGAGAATAATGGACCGATAGCACAGTGGGTAAGGCTTTTGCCTTGCATGTGGCCAACATGGCCAACCCGGGTTTGATTCTTCCGCCCCCCTTGGAGAGCCCAGCAAGCTACCGAGAGTATCTCCCCTGCACAGCAAATCCTGGTAAGCTCCCCATGACGTATTCAATATGCCAAAAACAGTAACAACAAGTCTCACAGTTTGTTGTGAGATGTTACTGGTGCTCGCTCGAGCAAATCGATGAACAACACGAGGACAGTGCTACAATGCTATGAGACTAATATCCAAGGTGAGAGTAAGCAGGAGCCAGGAGGACTGGTCAGTGGTTGGAAGCTTTCCTCAAGAATGGGGAGTAAGGGGGTGAGGGGGAGCGCCAAAGGAAGGTTAGGATAGAGAAGGGAGCAACGTGACAATAATAGTTGGAAATGCTCATTTTGGACAGGAACTGAGTGTTGAAAGTAAAAGTTTATACCTGACAATAAGTGATGGGATGGGGCAGAGGAGGAAGGGAAATGAAACAGTTGGTTGTGAGAAAAGTGCACTGGTCAAGGGACAGGTGTTGGAACATTATATGACTGAAATCCAATCATGAACAACTTTGTAAATGTGTTTATCACTGTGATTCAATTAAAAAAGGATTTAAAATTTTTAAAAATAAAAATACTCATAGACAGTATAACAATAATTTGCACACTACTCAAAAAGTCATCATTGTCTTAATACAGAGAATAAATGACACATTCTCATTTTGTAAGATCAGAAGAGTGAGTGGGATGCTGTTATCAATAGATGCATAAAAACTGCTTGCAGTGGAAACAACTGAAGTTGGTGGACCCCCATGGATGGCTTATGTGAGGAGGAGAGGAGAGAGAGGGTCACTTTCTCCCGATTCACTTATGCCATCCTGGGATCAGCTGGGAAGAATAGGACTCAGGTTGGAGCTGTATTTGCTCTTTGCAGGAAAGAAGAATCAGTCTTATGCCTTACCCGGGGTTTATAGGCTCATATTCTTCACAAAAACGACTTTCAGGAGTAGATAAGCAGTGAAGTAAAAACAGATTTTATTTGGAAGTCTGTAGGAAGAGGAAGGAGGGAGAAAAGAGAGAGAGAGAATAATGCGCTCAAGGGAGAACCCTGGCTTCTCCAAAGTACGCGTCTCAAGAGGGGAGATGCAGGCAGCACGTGTGCTTGGGTGCCACATGAGCTCAGCCATGTGGGCACAAGCGGCACACAGGCTCAGGCAGCAAATGTGTGCCCTTCCTTGTTCAAGGTGGCTTTTAGAGGTTTCTCCAATCTGACCCCATGTGGGGATTTCTAGCTGAGTAAGTTTGTTGCTATGGTGGCTGCCAAAGCGACCTTGGAATTTCTCTGCAGAGGTGGCTGCAGGTGTCATGGGGGTCATCCAGGTGTCATAAATCCCCTTCAGGTTCGTAATTGCAGTCTCTGTCTCTGCTGAAGTTTGTATCTCTGTGGGGTCCATTCTCCTCAGGGTCTGTCACTGGTGCCAGGAAGATCTTATCGGACCTAGGCCTTAATTTTTGCAGTCTGGGGTTATTGGATTTATTGGATTTATTACTTCTCAGAAATTCCATGGCCATGGGCCCTCTTTTTATCCCCCTACCTTACAACAATGACTCCTTTCTATGCAACCAAATCAAAAAACATTGTCTATATGCAAGCTAAAATGTGATAGCAATTACTGATCTTACTAATCTCTCATCGAACCCAGGTCAGCTGGGTTGGCTGTGTGCAAGGCAAACACCGTACCCGCTGTGCTATCGCTCCAGCTCAAGCAAAATCAAGTGACTAATCTCTCATCGGTTACCAGAGCTTTCTGGTGACAATGGCCCACTTGCTATTCTCCAGGCTGGGTATGCACACTGTCACCTCTGAGCCTTAGCACTTCTGCCCGGAATGCTTCTCCCAGAATCACACACACACACACACACACACACACACACACACACGCACGCACGCACGCATGCACGCACGCACGCACGCATGCACGCACGCACACACACACATACCTAACTAACTTTAACCAACTTTAGGCATTTTTTTTTTTTTTTGCTTTTTGGGTCACACCCGGCGATGCACAGGAGTTCATGCACTCAGGAATTACTCTTGGCAGTGCTCGGGGGACCATATAGGATGCTGGGAATCGAACCTAGGTTGGATGCGTGCAAAGCAAACACCCTACCTGCTGTGCTATTGCTCCAGCCCCTTAGGCACTTCTTAAGGATCAATCATTATCAAAGATGATGTGTAATGTCATTATTTCAGCAACACATAAGGACAAAAACTTTCTGTTTTTTACTTATAAATCTCCAGCACTTAATAGTGCTTGGAATTTTTGTAGTGACAAAACCTAATAGGTGATCAGTAAGTACTGGGAAAATAAATGGACTCTTTCTCCACTAAAAGCAATCGTGCTGATTTACATTTCAGTACTGAAAGACTTCCACAGATATTTTCTAAGAAAAAACAGGTTGTTGAATAGCATTGCACACACACACACATATATATACACACACACATATATATGTGTGTGAATATACATATATTTATACACACACACATATATATATATATGACTACCATATACAGAGGAGTGAGTGAGATTAGGGGAAGGAGAGAAGCCTCGTGCCTAATGTAAAAATCCATCAAGTTTGGCAGCTACAGGTCAGCTAAAGTCCTTGACTCCTGTGTAGGATTACATTGTTTTGTCCTTCCTGCATAGTCTCAGGTAGTTTAGGTTTATTGGGTTGCTCCCATCACAGTGCTCCCATTCCTCTGTGCTTATTTGTAACTTCTTTCTCCGTGCTCTATTAACTTGTAAATATTGTTTTTCTCTTCCCTAAATCCTTTCCATAGTTTATTCAGAGCAATTTCCTTTTTGTATGAACACAAGAAGATAGTACATGATATGCTTTTGTAACATGACTCTCAGTGATATTTTCCTTCTGGGCATCTGTTCTCTCAACCTAAGCCTCAGCTGCCTTTACTTCCTAGCGCCCCCAAAAGCAGGATCCCAACGAGGGACTGGATGGAACCAGGGCAAGCGATAACCTATATGCTACCCTGGCATCGAGACGGCCCTGGCCAAAGAGCCTAATGCTTAACTATACGTTAAGAGCTTGGTCATGGACAAATGCTGTCATGATCCAAAAAGTATTAACTAGATTCGGACCCTGCTAAGGTTAGGAATGATTAATCTGGCCTGAGCTCTGTAGTCTGAGTCTGTGGCAAGATGTTCCCAGAACTGCCCCACAAGCCTCAATGTCTCTCTTACTGTATCCATACAAAAATAACTAGTATTACGATGTTGATTGAGTTTTTGGACAGAGGAAAGGAGAAAAACACCTTAGGAGGTATTTTGCCCCTGGGCAGTCAGGAAGGGCTTTGGAACACCCCAGATGATGTTTCTGCCCTTGAGCCCAATGGCTTTCTTATATTGATTTTGCTACCAGACTGGGTGCAGTGTGGCCCTCAGTGCTGCGGAGTTGGAACGACAAGAGAGGGGAAAGATGAGAGGCACGCAGGGCAACAACATGGAGTGCGGAAGAGACTAGCAAGGGGATCAGAGGGAGAAGAATGTAGAAGAATACAGGAGAAGGCTTGTGGAGAGAGAAAGCCCAGGCTGCAAGACGGAGCACGGAGAGATGAGCAGGAGAGACAGGAAGAGACAGGAATGAGGGCAGTGTGAGACTACAATGGGAGGCTCAGAGAGACTGAGGCAGGAGCATGGGGAAAATAGAATAAACAGCATCTGATCAATCAAACAGCTTGGCCTGTTTCGGCCAGTCCTCCATCCCATGACCTAGGCCACCCTGGCTGGGCAAGTGGCCCGGGGTCAAACTGCTGGAGCCTCCCCTGGACCCCCGAAGATCTTATACACTCCTATTTCCTAATTTTTGTATCATGTGCATTCACTGAATAACCTAGGCAATCAACACTCACTCGGCTGTTTGCTGGATTTTTTGGTTAATAAACTCTGGTCTCTTTTAAGCAGGAATATGTATTTTAAGTCATTTATATCATCATGACGCCGTATCTTCCACTCAGCAGTTAACAGTTTTCAGAGCTTTTTCCCCTTTTGGTTTTTAGGTCATACTAGGGATGGCAATGCGGGGGGGGATGGGAGTGGGGCATATGCAGTACAGGGGATTTGAACTAGGGTCGACAGCAAGCAAGGGAAGTACCTTAACGCTTGTACTGTCTCTGCCCCCCACCCCCCACCCCATCCCCCTGGAAGAAAACTTGAAATAAAGTCTCTTTATGGAACTCCTGTCAAACAGGGAATGTGTCAGAACGCTTTTGGGTGCGTTTCCTGCAGGCTGGAGGGGCTGCTCGGTCCCTCACGAAGGTGGCTGTTTCAACCTCATTTCTCACCAGTCCTGTCCTTTCTTGGAAACAAACGCGTTCTGTTAAGACCCGCTTTAAGTGGTTTGTCGACTGGTAAATAGGTCTCCCGAGAGTGTCACACGCTCCCTTCTGAGTTTCAGAAGTTTTCACCTTCGCTGCAACCTCAAGCACATGACCAGGTGTTGTCTTTTCACTTCTGAAACCTTCCAAGGGCGGCCTCGCGCATAGGTAAAGGCACCAGGGGAAGGAGCAAGAGCTTGAGCTCAAGCCTGCAGATCTTTCCGGAACCAGGAAACGCGGGTCTCGGGGACTACAATTCCCAGCAGGCCTAGCGGGAGCGCCCGGACGCGCGCGCGCGCACGCGCACTAGAGGACGCAGGCCAGCGGGGAGAGGGTTCAGGTCAAGAATATGGCCGCGCCCGTGCTGCGGCCTGGCCTGGGCAGGCTTCCCCAGATGCAGCCGCTGCGGCCGGCCAGCCGAGCTCATTGCACGTCCCAGGCCTTCGCGGAAGTGCTCCGATTGCCGAAGAAGCAATTGACGAAACTCGTGTTCCCGCTGCGAGAACTCGAGCGGCACCTAGTCCCGGACTCGAGGCCCGCCCTGCGCTCGAACATCTTCGAGCCCAGCCTGGAGGACATCGCCAGGGCCGATGGCTTATTCACGCCCACCGCCGCCAACCGCATCGAATACGTCAGTTCCGCCGTGCGTCTGGACCACGCCCCGAGCCTCCCCCGCCCGGAGGTGAGAGCAGCCAATGGCAGGCGGCCGTGGGGGCGTGGGCGGGGCTTTTGCTCCCACTTTCTGGACTGTCAAGAGAGATTTCTAGTTTTGCCTAGTTTTGCGTGACCTCCTGCGATGTTGTTATGACATCCCGCAAAATAATACAAACTGTAAACTGAAAACATAATCGTATTTTTAACTAAAGAAACGGTTTCATTTCAGTAATGAAAATAGGAGACCTGAAAAGATTTTAAATTATCACGATTTTAAAAACCTTCCTTTTATTGACCTTTTTTCCTGCCTAGTCAAGTAAGGCTATCATACCGAGTCATTAAGACTGTGAAAAGTATAATAGTTCCCCAAGTGAGAAGATCTATATGTATATGCAACTTTAGCCCTATGTAAATTTCTTATCCTATTCTCTCTCCACTTAAGGATAGGGAGAGAATTCACCTTTAATAATTTTTTTTTTATTGAAAGTTTGCTTTATCTATCTCACGGATATCCAATTGAAAAAAAAATGTGGAGTTCATACCCAATTCAATCAGCTTAATCAATGGCTGAATAAATAGCAGTACTCCTACATTAAAAAAAAAGTGTTAAATAAAGGCCCTCCCGTTGATCGTCGATTTGCTCGAGCGGGCCCAGTAACTTCTCCATTGGAGACTTTGTTGTTACTGTGTTTGGCATATCGAATAAGTCACGGGCTTGCCAGGCTCTGCCCTGCGGGCGAGATACTCTCGGTAGCTTGCCGGGCTCTCCGAGAGGGGCGGAGGAATCGAACTCGGGTCGGCTATGTTGGCCGCTTGTAAGGCGAATGGCCTACCACTGCTATCGCTCCAGCCCAATGGTCTACGACCATACCACCCTGGACGCACCCGATCTCGTCTGATCTCGGAAGCTAAGCAGGGTTGGGCCTGGTTAGTACTTGGGAAAAAAAATGTTAGCTTTTTAAAAAAGGTTCTAAGACTTAGATTTGAAATATTTGCCATAACTGCACCAGTGCACTTTTAGAAAATTTTATTCACTTTAGGTAAAGGTAAAGGTAAAGGCCCTCCCATTGATCGTCGATTTGCTCGAGCGGGCCCAGTAATGTCTCCATTGGAGACTTTGTTGTTACTGTGTCTGGCATATCGAATACGTCACGGGGAGATTGCCAGGCCCTGCCATGCGGGCGAGATCCTCTCGGTAGCTTGCCGGGCTCTCCGAGAGGGGCGGAGGAATCGAACTCGGGTCGGCCATGTTGGCCGCTTGTAAGGCGAACGCCCTACCCGCTGTGCTATCACAATATGACTGTATTATTTAACCTACCTCAAGAATCCTCCTTTTAACACCTGTAAAATAGGGATAACATTACCTTCCTCGTAGGGATGTTGCACAGCGGTAGGGCGTTCGCCTTACACGCGGCCAACATGGCCGACCCGAGTTCGATTCCTCCGCCCCTCTCGGAGAGCCCGGCAAGCTACCGAGAGTATTCGATATGCCAGACACAGTTGCAAATGTAAATAGAAAAATGTGTGTTATGATGATTTAAATGTGTATGTTATGGTACTGGCACATTAAATCATTCAGTAGATAGTTGTGTTAGTAAGAAACTTTACCAAAACATAAGCCAGTTTTCACAGGGACAGCCCAAACGGAATAGCTTAACGCATTTTTTGCAACCATTACAAATATAGGAAATAAACGTATATGAATTGCTACTCAGTTATCTTCTTTTCTTATGTAAGGTATGTTTTATAGGCAGAAGCAATGTCGGAAAGTCTTCTCTAATAAAGGCTTTATTTTCATTGGCCCCAGAGGTTGAAGTTAGAGTCTCCAAAAAACCGGTATGTTGAAATTTAAAATATGTCTTAGCTTTCTCATTTGTCTAAGATAAATAATAAATTTTGGGAGATACAGGCAACCACTGCTAAATTCCATGGAAAATTATTTATTTCAAATATTTAGTAAGGCAAGATATTTTATTAATATTGATATATTTCTCTGAAGAAAGATGATTGTGTCTAGCTATGTGTTTTTGCAGTCTCGCTGATATCTTAAGGAAATCTTTATCCAAATATTTTCCAGTTGCCAAATGAACATTTTCATATCATTCTATATTTGCTTCTCTGAAAATTAACTTTAGTTCTACATTGATTTTAGAAGAAATGACTTTGAAATATTTAATTTTCCCCTGATAATCTTTTGTGCCTTACTGAAATGTGTGTTTATACATATATGTATATATTTGTCAGTTCCCAGTATCTTCATGTCAAAATTATGCATTTATTTTCTCAGCCAGTCTGCTATAGTTATTTCCTGTCATTTTCTAATTCCCTGTGCTTCCTTCTCAGTGATGCACATAACAGTATGTAAGTAGCCTCACCTTCACTTTCCCTGTCTTCTTATCTGTGTATGGTGTAACATTCCTGTCATCCTAATGACACCCTTTCTCCCCTCCCATGAGACTTAAACTAGTTTAATATAGTTCATTCCCTGCCACCATCACTGTTAATGGTTTCTACCCCTTACTTTGTCTTTTCTGACTGCTCTTCCTCACCAAATAACCTTCGGGGTGGCTAGTTCTTTTCATGAGAGGGTCAAGGAAGAAATTTCTTATCCAATAGATGCACAGACTGGTTGTTCACCGAGTCATCATTTATAAAAATTCTCCTCTGAAAATACTTATTAAAAATTCTGGAAATTATATTAATTTCCATTGTAGCATTCTATAACTTTAGGTGTGCTTCCTTGTACATCAGCATCTCTATATAATAAGTTTACCACCTAAAGTGAGATTCTGTTCATCACCATTTAGTTGTCACCACAATCTAATTTACCCACCCCCAGCCTCTTCATTTCTGTAGCCACTACAGAAATGAAGTGGTCTTACGGTCTAAAACTAGTTTTCAGTTTTTTTACACTTTAGGACTGGCAACAGTCTGCAGTGCAGTGGTTCTAAAGGGTTGTATTTTTTGTTGTTGTTGTTTTTTGGTTTTTTGCTATCGTTATATTTAGTTTGTTGGTTTATTTTCTCTACAAAACATATGTTTTTTCCCATCTGATGTATCACTAAGCAAAATACCCTCTAATCCTCTATATTATTGCAAATGACAGGATTTTATTTTTCTTTCCTTATACATGAGTAGTATTCCATTGTGTGTATTTATCACATCTTTAGCCAAATGTCTAGGGCGATAGCACAGCGGTAGGGCATTTGCCTTGCACGTGGCCAGCAATTCCTCCGCCCCTCTCGGAGAGCCCAGCAAGCTACCGAGAGGTATCTCACCCGCACGGCAAAGCCTAGCAAGCTACCTGTGACGTATTCGATGCCAAACACAGTAACAACAAGTCTCACAATAGAGACGTCACTGGGCCCACTTGAGCAAATCAATGAACAACAGGAGGACAGTGCTACAATGCTTAGCCAAATGTCTGTTAATGAATATTTAGGTTCTTTCCAACTCATAGTATTGTAAATAATGCTTCAGTGCACATAGAGGTGCATATTTATCTCTTTGAATTGCTATTTTTATATTTTCTTTTTTTTTTTTAATAATTTATTTATTTATTGAATCACTGTGGGAAAAGTTACAAAGCTTTTAGGTTTAGGTCTCGGTCATGCAAATATCAATCACATTTCCCTTTACCAATACTTATTTTTCACCACGAAGAACCCCAATAAACCCCCACCCCGCACCCCTCCCAATGCCTGTGAGGCAGATGAATTCTAGTTAATACTCTATCTACTTTGACTAGATTCATTGTTTCGATAAAAGATGCACCATTATTATTTAGAGTTTATACCCCAAATCAGACCCGCTGAAAAAGGATTGTGAAATGATTTGCTTTCTACAGCTGGGTTCAAGAATTAAATGATGTCACACAGCCGCTATTGTGGCCGCGCGGTTTTGGATTTCTGCTATTTTACTTGTTAACCCTGGAAGTATTTCTACTGAGAGTCAGATAATTAAGAGATTGGTTTCTGTGCTCTGGAGCCATAGCCGTGACAGAGAGCCACTCGTGGGGGGCAACTGGTGACCTTGGTAGGGCGTGAAGGATGCGCCGGAACGCCCCCCTTCCCATGAGGTTTTAGTTGCCCCATCACCACAGGCTCATACCTGGCTCTCCACAAGGCTCCCATGTGGCTGCCATCTTTCTTTCCAGAGGGGAGAAGGCGGAAGGGAGCAACACTCTTTCCCCTACGGGCAGACATGGTGGCGTGGATTAACACATAGTCCTTCACTTTTCTACTCCAAGCTGCCGGGTTCTGCATTAAGTCCTTGTGCTTCTGGGGCCGTGGCCGTGCCAGAGAGCCGCTCATGGGGGACAACTGGTGACCTCGGTAGGGCGTGAAGGACGGCTATTTTTATATTTTCAAGTAAGCAGCAGGATAACTGAACAATATAAAATTTCTACTTTTAATTGCTTTAGGGTATTGTGTAAACAGATGATGTTTTGAGCTTGTTTTCCTAATTTGAAATATGTAATTCTAGGGAGGGAGTCTTCTCACCTGCTCTCTTTCCCCAATTTCAAAACGTTTGTGTATTATTCTACTTCTGAAGTATTCTAAAGTTTCCCTGTTTCTCATAGAAGATCATTTTCTACTTCTGATTGACGTTTCCCTGTGGTTTATAGATCATTTAGTAATTTTTGTCAAGCTGATTTGGAAGCAGTGAATGCCCTCAGCTGTTGTTACTGGGGAACCAGATGTGACTCTGGGAGTTGAATCCAGCCCAACCGTGATGTGAGGCAACCTCCCTTCCAGCTGCACTCTCTTTGGCCCTACAGTGTGCCTTGGTGTTCCCACTGAGTTAATTTTTCAATTAAGCCCAACCTTGGGGCTTCCTGGATCATTGCCTTTGTATCTCCTTGTGTTGGGAAAGTTCTTGGCTATTCCTCTCAAGAATGCTTCCCCTTTCCATTCTTCTTCAGGTGTTCTTATCAGGTTGTTCCTCTTTATATTATCCCACAAATCTCTCAAGCTTTCTTTTCTTTTCTTTTTTTTTTCTTTTTGGGTCACACCCGGTGATGCACAGGGATCACTCCTGGCTCTATACTCAGGAATTACTCCTGGCAGTGCTCAGGGAACCATATGGGATGCTAGGAATCGAACCCAGGTCGGCTGTGTGCAAGGCAAATGCCCTGCCCACTGTGCGTTCCTTTCTTTTTGGTTGTCTGTTTTATTTTGGGGCCACACCTGGTGGTGCTCAGAGCCTCCTCCTGGCTCTGCTTTCAGAGATCACTCCTGGAGGTGCTCAAGGGACCATATGGGATGCCGTGGATATCAAACCCACCTTAGCAGAATGTAAATCAAATTCCTATTGTACTATTGTTCTGGCCCCTATTTTTTGTTTTCTAGTCATTGTTTTCTCTGATGAAGCCATGAATCTTGCCTCAACTTCACTGATCTAAATTTAAGCTTTCCCATCCCGCTAAGTTCTGTTATCGAGGATTTATCTTTCCTTTTGTGGTTCTTTTTCTTCCTTTTTTTCTGTGTGTGTGTGTGTGTGTGTGTGTGTGTGTGTGTGTGTGTTGGGTTTTGTTTTTGTTGCAGTTCCACACCCAGCACTGCTCAGGGCTTACTCCTTGCTCTGAATTCAAGGATCACTCTTGGCAGGACTTCAGATACAGTATGGGTAAAACTCCACCCCTTTTTTCTATTAATCCTGGTATGGCTTGATGTGTAGTAGTGTGGCTATGACTGCGAACTAAATTAGCATCATTTCAGAGCTCCCACTCATAAAGTCAGCTGGTGCCTTTGGCTCTAGGTTTGTGTAATTCTAGATGGCCATTGTGGATTTATAGTTGCCTGGCAGCTGCTGTACATCTGTAGTCTAGCCATTCTGGGCTCTGTTTTTGAACTCTAGCATCTGATTTTAAGTCACAGTCCAGGCAACCGAGGCAGAAACTGGGGTTGTCATCGTAAGTATCTAGCAGCCGATCTTTGCAGCTCTTGGGGAGTTTCCAATTGTCTGCAATAATAGAACTACAGTTCAGCTGCTCTGGTAGTAACATGCTGTGTGATATTGTTATTGTATAGATCAGCCTGTGTCACCAAGTTGGGATGGTCCTTTGCAGCTGCCAGATGGACTGATTTATGTGTGGCTCTGCATACCTGGATATCACATTTAAACAGACATGAAATATGTGAAAAGATGGCCAAGGGAGTTACTACTCCCCTGTGGTATGTCTATGTTATGTTGAGTCTGAAAAGGTCTTTTGGGCCACTTTGTGGACTGTTTTTTTTTTTTTTTTTTTGATAGCCAGACACCTTTTCACTGGTTTGGAAGGTTTTTCACACCTTTTCACTGGGACACTTGCCATCTCCTAAGATGCCAGAGGCAACAAAATCTGCCTCATCACCTGCCCCTGCCCTTGGCAGGCCCCCACTGTATTCAGGATTTTTCCCAGTGCCACTTACTTATCACTCCTCTGAATTACCGATAACTTATCCCTCTCCAGTACGGGGAGCGCACCCAACTCCTCTCTCCCTAAAGGACATACTGGGGGAGACTGCTCTCAAAGCTCCTCTTTTCTACTTTTCCTTTTTGGATAACTCTCCATACTGCTTTCCTTAGTGACTGCTCCATTTTATATCCCCCCCACCCCACTATCACTATGCATTGTAACAAGCCTTCCAGCATCTTTCTGCATTCTCTCCAACATTTGTTGTATTTATTTCTAGAAACTACTTATTGTCACAGGTGATCTTTTAATTTGTGTTCTTCCAATATGAGTGATGATGAACATCTTCTTCTTGGGCTGGACCGATAGCACAGCGGTAAGGCGTTTGCCTTGCACGCAGCCAGCCTGGCTGAGCCGGGTTTGATTCCTCCACCCCTCTCAGAGAGCCTGGCATGTTACTGAGAGTATCTTGCCTGCACGGCAAAGCCTGGCAAGCTCCCCGTGTTGTATTCAATATGCCAGACACAGTAAGAACAAGTCTCATGATGGAGACATTACTGGGCCCGCTTGAGCAAATCGATGAACAACGGGAGGACCATAAACATCTTGTCAGGTGCCTAGAAGTTTCTCTTCAGATTCTCTGTTCATTTTTGTTTTGTTTTGTTTTTGGGGGGCCACTCCCAGTGATGCTCAGCAGTCACTCCTGGCTGTGCACGTAGGAGTTACTGCTGGCAGGGCCTGGGAACCATATGGGATGCCAGGGATTGAGCCTGAGTCAACTGTGTGCAAAGCAAGTGACTTGCCCTCTGTACTCTTGCTTTGATCCCTAGCTGCTCCTTTTTTAACTCAGTGGATTGATGACTTTACATTGTTTAATCTCTGCTTTTCTGATGAACGTTGATGAACAAAATTTGGTAAAGGTAAAGGCCCTCCCGTTGATCATCGATTTGCTCGAGCGGGCCCAGTAACGTCTCCATTGGAGACTTTGTTGTTACTGTGTCTGGCATATCGAATACTCTCAGTAGCTTGCCGGGCTCTCCGAGAGGGGCGGAGGAATCGAACTCGGGTCGGCCATGTTGGCTGCGTGCAAGGCAAACGCCCTACCGCTGTGCTATCGCTCCATTGATGAAAAATCTGATGAACAAAGCCATGCCTAAGTCACTTTCTATCATCTCTCCAGCAATATTAGTTGCACAATATAGCGTTGTTGTGGGCTGGAGCGATAGCACAGCGGTAGGGTGTTTGCCTTGCACGCAGCCAACATGGCCAACCCGAGTTCGATTCCTCCGCCCCTCTCAGAGAGCCCGGCAAGCTACCGAGAGGATCTCGCCCGCACGGCAGAGCCTGGCAAGCTACCCGTGATGTATTCGATGTGCGAAACACAGTAACAACAAAATCTCCAATGGAGACGTTACTGGGCCCGCTCGAGTAAATCGACGATCAACGGGAGGGCCTTTACTTTACTTTTACTTATAGCGTTGTAATGCTTTATAAAAGATGTGGGGGGGGTTTTTGTGTTTTTTTTGTTGTTGTTGTTGTTGTTGTTGTTGTTGTTTTGCTTTTTGGAGTAATACCTGGTGATGCACAGGGGTCACTTCTGGCTCATGCACTCAGGAATTTCTCCTGGAAGCACTTGAGGGACCATATGGGATGATGGGTATTGAACTTGGGTCAGCCGCGTGCAAGGCAAACGCTCTACTCTCTGTGCTGTCACTCCAGCCCCAAAGATGTATTTTTTTATCTTAGTTTTTCTGTGGTTTATACATGCTTCATACATGCATGGCTTCATACATGCGAGATGCACACTCTACTACTAAAATAACCCTCTCTTCTTTAAAAAATTTTTTAAAAAGTGGTTTAAATGGAAATACTAAAGCCCATTGATGAAATGTACAAAAATTTGGTTTTAAGGAAGCAATAGTGTCGGCATAATAAATTTCAGTCTTTGGATCTAGGTTTATGAAAATATTTAGGACAGGTGGCAATAACCTATCAGTGCCATAATTCATTTCTTTTAAAATCACGTATAATATTATTCTTTAGAGAGTATTGACTAATGGAGTTACACCATTAAGAGTGGGGTAATGTTTTCATTGAAAGGTAATAAAATAACTATGATTTCAAAGTATTTTACTTATATATTTCTAATATGCAGTCTAAAATTATGACATATAGATTCCTTAAAGAATTAATTTGAAGAAGTGTTTTATTCTAGTCTTATCTCCAGTATTTCTTTTCTGACTGTTCCTGAGTTAATATCAGCATAACTAGAACTATAGATTTTTAACAAAGGTTTTGAATAGTGAAATATATAAATGAGATGTTTTAAGTGAACTCTTTTTTCCTATTTACTTTACCAGGGTCATACAAAGAAAATGAATTTTTACAAAGTTGGAAAATACTTCACATTGGTGGACATGCCAGGTTATGGCTATAGAGCACCAGAAGATTTTGTTGACATGGTAGAGACCTACCTAAAAGAACGAAGGAAGTAAGAAAAAATTATCCTATGAGTACACATTTAACCCTAAAACACATATTTATCAATAGAGCTTTCTGAGCATGGTGAACATTTCAGTTTTTTGAATGATTTTTTTTTATAGAACCTCCATTTTATTTTCATAATCTCTATAATGTAAAATTTAGGTCCAAGGTCTGTAATGCATCTGTAGTTTCCTTGGTTGACTGTAGGCTCATTTCATGTTAAACGTGGTTTATTTCAGAATATGTGTTCTTCAGCTCAGGAAGCGGTTCAGTGTGAGGGTCCAGGATGCAGTGCTGCTTAGCCCTTGCAGTACCAGAAATTATCGAGCTCAGCCCTGCTAACAGGCCTCCAAGGCTGCACTCAGCAGTGGTGCCAGGAATCAAACCAGGGTTGGCCACATGGGACACGTGTCCCTTGGCCCCTGGGCTGTCCCTTTGACTGCTGGATTATCATTCTTTCAGCTTTCCATTAACAATCTTAGACCAAATTCAAACTTGGCTAGTTTTGGAAAAGAATTGCTAGTCCTTGTGGTATTTACTGAATCTAGAAATAAACCAGTAAAATTCTGACCATTTCTAAAATACCTGTGATGTCATATCCTCTGTCAATTTAACCTTTGTGGGTTTGTTTCTTAGTTGGTCTAGTGGCAGTTCTGTGTCTCAGGCATTGCACGATACTGTAGAAAAATTAATACAGAACTTTAAAGTAGAAAAAACTTTATAAATATCTTGTTTATTGTAGCTTTCTATAGTAACATAGATGAAACATTCACAGAAGAAAATTCAAAATGTAGTGTGTCTGGTTTATATTATTTGTTAGTCTTATTTTAAAAAATTGGACATTTTTATATTAACCTAAAACTCATCTATGTTTCTGCATAACGAGTTAAATAGAGAAATGCCCTTATTCATCTTTGTATCTTGTCCCAACAAAGTGTCTTATGCTCAATTCATGGTATTGAAACAAATATTTAGTGAATTTAGTTATTAAAAGTAAACAGCATTGAGACCTGTTTGACTGTTGAATGAACTTATTGGTAAATCAAGAACTAATTTTAGTCTAAATAATTTTTTAGATTTTGAGCTGGGAATTTTTTTTAATTTTTTTTTTATTAGTGAAACACCGTGAGGTACAGTTGTAGATTTACAATTTTTTGTGCTTGGGTTTCGATTATACAATGATCAGATACCCATCCCTCCACCAGTGCCCATTTTCCACCACCATGGATAATATCCCCCCCACCCCCATCCCCCCATCCACCCCTGCCTCTGTGGCAGGGCAATCCCCTGTGTTCTCTCTCTCCTTTTGGGTGTTGTGGTCTGCAAAAGAGGCATTGAGTGGCAAACATGTTCAGTCCATAGTCTACTTTCGACATGCATCCCCCCTCCTGGGAGGAACCTCCAAACACCCTTTATTTGGTGCTCCCTTCTCTATCTGAGCTGCCCTTTCCTCTAAAATGCCCGACTGGCCATTAAGCTATGGAATAATCCTCCTGGTGCTGATCTCAGCTATTCTTGGGTATTAATCTCATATTTTGTTACTTTATATCCCCCAGATGAATGCAATCTTTCTATGTCTATCCCTCTCTTTCTGACTCATTTCGCTTAGCATGATACTTTCCACGTTGTACCACTTGTATGTAAATTTCATGACTTCATCTTTTCTAACAGCTACGTAGTACTCCATTGTGTAGATGTACCAAAGTTTCTTTAACCAGTCATCTGTTCTTGGGCATTCAGGTTTCTTCCAGTTTCTGGCTATTGTAAAGAGTGCTGCAATGAACGAACAAGTGTAGATGTCACTTCGACTATACATTTTTGCCTCTCTGGGATATATTCCCAGGAGTGGTATTGCTGGGTCAAATGGGAGCTCAATTTCTAATTTTTTGAGAATCGTCCATACTGTTTTCCAGAAGGGCTGAACTAGTGGACATTCCCACCAACAGTGAAGGAGTGTCCCTTTCTCGCCACATCCGCGCCAGCATCGGTTGCTTTTGTTCTTTTGAATGTGGGCCAGTCTCTGAGGTGTGAGATGGTATCTCATTGTGGTTTTGATCTGCATCTCCCTGATGATTAATGATGTAGAGCATTTTCTCATGTGCTTTTTTGCCATTCGGATTTCTTCTTTGAGAAAGTTTCTGTTCATTTCATTGCCCCATTTTTGGATGGGGTTGGATGTGTTCTTCTTGTGGAGTTTAACCAGTATTTTGTATATCCTGGATATCAACCCCTTGTCAGATGTGTATTCGGTGAATATCCTTTCCCATTCTGTAGACTGTCTTTGTATTTTGGTCACTGTTTCTTTGGAGGTGCAGAAGCTTCTTAGTTTAAGATAGTCCCATTTATCTATCTCTGTTTTCACTTGCTCAGTCAGTGGCGTGGCATCTTTGAAGATGCCATTAGCTTCAATGTCATGGAGGTTTTTGCCAACTTTGTCTTCTATGTACCTTATGGTTTCTGGTCTGATGTTGAGGTCTTTAATCCATTTTGATCTTACTTTTGTACATGGTGTTAGGCAGAGTTCTGAGCCCATTTTTTTTGCATGTAGCCGTCCAGTGATGCCAGCACAATTTGTTAAAGAGGCTTTCCTTACTCCACTTCACATTACTTGCACCTTTATCAAAAATTAGATAATCATATGATTGAGGGGAGATGTCAGTGTATTCAACCCTGTTCCATTGGTCTGCAGTTCTGCCTTTGTTCCAGTACCATGCTGTTTTAATTATTACTGCTTTGTAGTACAGTTTGAAGTTCAGGAGGTTGATTCCTCCCATTTTCTTTTTCCCAAGAATTGCTTTAGCTATTCGTGGGGGCTTATTGTTCCATATAAATTTCAGAAGTGTTTGCTCCATTTCTTTGAAGAACGTCATGGGTATCCTTATAGGGATTGCATTGAATTTATACAATGCTTTCGGTAGTATTGCCATTTTGACAATATTAAGTCTCCCGACCCATGAGCAGGGGATATCTTTCCATTTCCTCATGTCCTCTTTTGTTTCCTGAAGTAGCGTTTTGTAGTTTTCTTTGTACAGGTCCTTTACTTCCTTAGTTAAGCTGATTCCTAAGTACTTGATTTTCTGGGGCACAATTGTGAACGGGATTGTTTTTTCATGTTGCTTTCTTCTCTCTCACTGTTTGCATATAGGAAAGCCATGGACTTTTGGGTATTGATTTTATAGTTTGCAACTTTACTATACGAGTCTATTGTTTCTAGATTTTTGGTGGAGGTTATTGGGTTCTCTAAGTATAGTATCATATCATCTGCGAATAGTGAGAGCTTGATTTCTTCCTTTCCTACCTGAATGCCCTTAATATCTTTTTCTTGCCTAATCGCTATTGCAAGTACTTCCAGTACTATATTGAACAGCAGTGGAGATAGTGGGCATCCTTGTCTCGTCCCTGATCTTAGAGGGAAGGCTCTCAGTTTTTCCCCATTGAGGATGATGCTTGCTGTAGGCTTGTGGTAGATGGCTTTAATTATGTTGAGGAAGGTCCCCTCTATACCCATTTTGGCTAGGGTTTTCATCATAAAGGGGTGCTGGATCTTGTCAAATGCTTTCTCTGCATCTATTGATATAATCATATGCTTTTTATCTTTTCTTTTGTTGATATGATGGATTATGTTGATTGATTTCCGAATGTTGAACCATCCTTGCATCCCTGGGATGAATCCTACTTGGTCATGGTGTATGATCTTTTTGATGAGTATTTGGATTCTATTTGCTAGTAGTTTGTTGAGGATCTTTGCATCTGTGTTCATCAGGGATATCAGTCTGTAATTCTCTTTCTTTGTGGTATCTCTGTCTGCTTTTGGTATCAGTGTGATATTTGCTTCGTAGAAACTGAAAGTGTTTTTGATATTTCAATTTCGTGGAAAAGCTTAAAGAGGATTGGGAGTAAGTCCTCTTTAAAGATTTGGAAGAATTCACTAGTGAATCCATCTGGGCCAGGACTTTTGTGCTTGGGGAGACTTTTTATTACCATTTCAATTTCCTTGATGGTGATAGGTCTGTTCAGGCATTCCAGGTCTTCTTGGTTCAGCCTTGGGAGTCTGTAGGAGTCTAGGAATTTATCCATTTCCTCGAGGTTTTGATGTTCCGTGGCATAAAGCTTCTCAAAGTACTCCCTGAGGATCCTTTGAATTTCTGTAGTTTCTGTTGTAATGGTGAGCTGGGAATTATTTAAGGGAAAATTTTATAAGGGTCACAAGAGAAATGAATGAGTATCTTATATGATGACATTGATTTTCATTTCTGCATTCTTATAGTTTATTGAGAACATTTTTATTAGTGGATAGTGTTGTTGGAATTCAAAAAACAGACAATATTGCCATAGAAATGTGTGAAGAATTTGCATTACCTTATGTGGTAAGTACAGTTATTTCTTTTGAATCACTATTAATTATAAATACCTCTTGTGAAAATAAAAGGAGTGCTATATGAATAATCTTTTCAGTTATTAGCCATTAATATTAATTAAAATAAGTTCTATGGTATTTTCATTCTTTTTTTTTCTCTTCCTTCTTTTAACTGCCATTTAGTATTCTTAAGTACCTTCCATTTTCATGAGTTTTTGTGTTCATAATATAAATACTTGCAATCAGCTTGTTAATAATTCTGTAGCACAGCTTGGCAGAGAGATATTACTTCTCCAATCATAAATAAAACTGCAACTGAAATATTTGCTGGAACTGACCCAGAATTTAAGAACCATTAAAAAATAAAAACAGGTTCTAGCACATAGAAGTAGGATTTCATATTCTTAAAGAGAACAGTTTCTTCTGAGAATATTTTATCTTTCCATGGTTTGTCCTAGAAAGAATACAAACCAATAGGTATGTATCCGCATTTACTTCATGAGTTTTCCAGATGAACTAGCACTGTTAAACTTCCTCTTAGTTAAAAACTAAGTGAAGAACTTCTCGACTATTCTTTGGTTTCCAAAAAAAAAAAAAAAAGTTAGATTTTAATTTAAAATTTAAGAGTAGATTTTAATCCAGTTCCAACCATGTTAGTAGTTAGCAACTTCGTTAGATTATTGGGATTTATAATAGTCCCTTGAAACTTCATAATTTATAGTTATAAGGTTCCAGAGAATTAATATAGTTTATAAATGTCAAAGTATTGCTAAACCGGTTTTATTAAGTGATAATATTTCTGGTATGGTATCACAGGTACTATTTTGTGAAGTCATAGATTGTTATCAGTTTGTGAGGTTTTTTTATTTACATTTGCTTGATATTTTGTTTTTTGGGCCACACCTGACAGTGCTCAGGTCTGATTCCTGGCAGGCTCAGGGGACCTTCTGAGGTGACAGGAATTGAATGCTGGTTGGCAGCTTGCAAACAAACACCCTAACCACTATGCTACCACTCAGGAACTCAGTTTTAACTTTAAGAAAATACTATTTAATTCTTTGGAAAAGAGATTGTGGTAGATAAGTTGTACTTTGAAGTAGATATATATTTGCCTTTATGAGGACAGACTTCCTATTTGGATAGATTTACAGACCATTATAAATCATACTTCACTTCTCTCTTGCAATTAATCTTAAAAAAATATCTTAAAATAGAAATTTTAATTTGGTGGAATTCCCCAGGAACATCTAGTAGGTCAATAATTTTTTCTTTAATTGATTTTTGTAATTCTCCATGCCTTGACCATTCTCAATTCAAATAAATTTTTTACTAGTTGACCTAGTAAGTTCTAGTTTTAGACTTATTTGGAATATAACTACATGTAAGTTGGATTATAACTACAAATAGCCTGGCTTATTTTTCATTTAAATTGTTACATAATAGGGAGAACTATTTTGTAAAACAAAGTGATTGTTAGCAATTTTTTAAGTTGGTAACCTAAAAATCATGCCTTACAACAATGATAGTTATGGTTATACACTTGATCTTAGCCAAAAGGCTGAGGAGCTTCTGTTGTAGTTTCGGTTCTAAAATCCTTTCACTGGCCTTAATATTTATTTTTTAATTGAGTCACTGTGAGATATACAGTTACAAAGCTGTTCATGATCATTTCATACAATGATCCAACACCCATCCCTCCAATTCACTGCTCTTAAATCCAAAATATGACTTTCTGTTGTTAAGGCATCATTAACTATCAAATATGTAGTGTACATGTATTGGAGACATTAACTCATTCAATTCTCAAAGTAACTTCTTTAGTGTTTACTGCTTTTGTAAACTAGCAAATGAGTGCTGTTATTATTACTTTTTAATTTTATTTATCTTTGGTTTGGGGGCCATACCTTACAGTGCTCAGGGGAACCTGACTTTGTCCTCAGGAATCACACCTGGTAGGCCCAAGGGACCATATGGGGTGGCAGGGATGGAACCCAGGTCACACATGCAAGGCAAGCACCCTTCTTGCAGTATTCTCTCTCTACTCCAAAAAGTTCTTTCCCCCTCCCCTTTGGTTGGGTCCACATCCATCAGTGCTCAGACTTTATGCTCAGAGATTACTCCTGGAAGGCTCAGGGGACCATATGAGGTGCCAGGGATTGAACCCAGGTCGGCCATGTGCAAGTCAAATATCTCTCTGGGCCCTTCCACAAGTTTCAGGAGCTAGTACAGCAGTTCCAACCCAGATTCACTTCCTGGCACCCTCTGTTTCCCTGAGTATTGCAGAGTGCTGTCTTGGAGGTCCGCGAGCACACTGGGTATGATCCTGGAGGCCCCCAACACTGTTGGGGTGACCAGGTTTCCCTGGCAGGTTTCCCTCTCAGGGCCCAAACAGATAAACCTTCAAGCTAAGTTATTAGGAATAGAGAATCCATCCTTGGGCTGCAGTGTGCCCATGCCTTGTTGGCTAAGAATCTCCTGTTGGCTTTCCCAAGCACCATTTGGGAGTCCCCCTAAAAAAAAATAAGAAAAACCAAAACAGTGGCACAGGTGAATTGGTTATAACTGAAAACTTGTGGTTAAATTTGATAAAATTGGTAAAATATTGTTAAGAAATGTTTTATTCCTAATGCCTAAATATTTGTTTCCTTTCAGATGGTATTAACAAAAATTGACAAATCTTCCAAGGGCTATCTTTTAAAGCAAGTGCTTCAGATCCAAGAATTTGTTGATACTAAAACACAAGGGTGTTTTCCTCAGTTGTTTCCTGTAAGGTAAGACTTGAATTTTTTATAAATTCATGTAAGAATAAACCTGATCATTAAATCAGAGGGGTTTTTGTTGTTGTTATTGTTGTTTTAATTCAAAGAAGCATTTGGAAGATTGTGCCCTTAGCTGTGACTCGTTGAGTCCACCATGAACACTTTCCATTCTTTTATTCTCTCTGTACTGTCTTCCTTCAGCAGATCTCGGCTGGAACTTCTTGTCAGCATCTTCAGTCTCTTTTTCATCTTAGCCTTGACCAACTCTTAACCACACTAAAAATAAAACCCTTCTTCTTTTAAAGAGAAGCTAAACAGCCACAAGCACGCTACCATCTATTTCTCTATTCCTAATAACTTATCTTGAAGGTTTAGAGTTCTTTCACCTGTGGGGGAGAAAAAAATTTCTTTAAGGGGCCAGGATGTGGCTCAGTGGTCAGGTAGACACACACCCACACACACATACACACACACGCATGCACACACACACACACACACACACACACACATGCACACACATACACGCCTCGTTTGGTTATGAGAGAGAAAAATTTTCTTTTTAAGGACTGGAGAGAGAGTACAGGGGTAGAGCGCCTGACTTGCACATGAACTACCCAGGTTCGATCCTTGCCACCCCATGTAGTCCCCCGTGCCCGGCCCAGAGTAAGCTCCAAATACCAAATTCAAAAAGAAAAAAAAGTAATTTTAGTTGACTAATGATTGGATTTGTCTTGTTTTCTGGAACCAGAACCAGCGATGCTAGGGGTGGCTCCCAGCCATGTTGGAAACCACAGTGCTGAGAATCAAAACTAAGTAGGGCCTCACACATACACGTCAAGTGCCTTACCACAGAGCCACATCGGAGACCTATACGCTGAGATTTAATAACAGTATAACTGTTCCAGAGTAAACCTTACAGTGTTTTTCTGGATCTATTTTAGTAAGAGTTCAGTGTTCAAAGACAAGGGAATGATTCACAATAGAATGGAGCCAAAGAGATAATCTAGACACTTGCCTTGCATGCTTCACACCCAACTTTGATCCTAGAACTGAATTTGGTCCCCTGAGCACTACCAGGAATGATTCCTAAGCAGAGCCAGGAGTACCCCCTGAGCATCACCTAGTGTGACCCCAAAACAATCTAGGACCAGGAGATAGTACTGTGATTCGGGCTCATATTTGCATGCTTTGACCCAGGTTCAATTCCTGGCACCACTTAGTCCCTTGACCCCTGTCAGGTGCAGCCCGGAAGGCCCCTGAGCACCACCAGGTGTGGCCCAGTGGGCTCCTTACCCCAACTGCAGAACTGCCCTGCAGTGACAGTCCTGGTCACCGCAGGGCCTCTCTGTAGAAGGCCCTTGCACAGAACGTACAGGCCCTGTGGACAGAGAATGGTGGTTGGGGATCATAGATTTCCTGAATATCTCTTGAGAGCCGGCCTGCAGAGCAAAACAAAAGCACTACCACACTGCTGTGAGATGTGCTGCCAGATGAGCAACTTTAAACTGTGGCCTGAGAGCAACGAGGTCTTGTAAGGGTTTATGTCAAGAGGCAGTTCCGAGCACGGAGTTGATCCTCATAGTAAATGCATTTCACAAAGGTGACAAGTCAGAAGTGACGTGAGTGGCAAAAGGTTTGCTAAAATAGAAAGAGCATGGGCCCTAGGTGTGAGCTAGGTAGCCAATGTTTTGCTTGTTTCTCCTCTTCTTGGCTATAAATTTTAAAGCAACATTATTTCACTTTCTGAGTCCCATTTCTTACTAGCAAAACTGTTACTATTAGGAAGATTAAAATGGATTGTGAGTCCTTACATACATTATTATGCACATGGTTCATTTGTTTACTGCCAGAGGTCAGTGTATGAGATATTTTCTCCTTTGAGTCTCTGGTGCATGACTTGAGAATCTTCTCTGTCTGCCTTTCTTACCACAGGTGAGCAAGATTTAGCACTCAAAGACACAGAATTGTGCTCACTTACTTTTGAGAACTTCAGCATTCTTAACAGAACATCTTCAACGTTCACTGCACCACAGCGACCACATACAGGAAACTGTCAGTTCCAAATTCAGAAAGCAGAGTTATATATACTCCGTCTTTGACTTACATAGCCAAATTCCAATCCTCTCTTGAAGGAATTTAGCCTAGTCACAAACTAGTACTTATAAATTAAGTCAGGTTGTATTTCCTTTTCTTCCTGTATGATCTTGGTAGGAGAAAAGTAGTTTAGCACTGGCGTATAGTCCAGTGTTAGCCTTTAAGCCTCTAATCAAAAGTTAAAGTGCGCAGCTTCATATCTGAACTCTACTCCAGCTGCGCAGAGAACTGCAGTAGGAAAAGCCTTAGAAATGATGCTGGGAGCAGTCTGTATTTATAAATAGTACTTTAAAAATAATACACATAGTCAAAAGGTAACTGCTTTTATGGTTCTCCATGTAGTACAATTGTAAGTAATAAGAACCGACTCTAACAATAAAGAAATTACGCGTTGAAAGAAATATTTGTGAGTTCAAAGAGCCAACATAGTAACTGTGGACTACCCAAACTTAAACTATGTAACTTCAGTTATAATCAATAATCTGGGACTAGAGTGATAGTACAGCAGGTAGGGCATTTCCCTTGCATGTGGATGACCCGGGCTTGATCCCTGGTACCCCATAAGGTCCCCCAAGTCCTGCCAGGAGTGATCCCTGAGCAGAAAGCCAGGAATAAACCCTGAACACCTTGGATGTGGCCCCTCCAAAAATCAAATCATCAGATTGTTTTCAAGCAGGAAACTTTGGTCAAAAAAACAAACTGCTATAATCAGGAAGGTAATTCACTATAGAAGATATTTTACCTGTTTTATGTAAATATATACCTATATTCATAAAAGTCATAGAGTTGCCATAAAAGCTCATGAATCTTGAAAAACCATGTGGCCATGGGAAGGAAGGCAGTGAGGGAGGGAGGGAAGGATAGACACAGTAATGATTATTTTTAAATCACAGAATGGCCTAAATTATCAAGATCATTGAATCCTTGTTATAAAAAATAAAAATGGTCAAAGTTTTTGATTTTAGATCATAAGCAAAATAGATCACTAAATTTTTAGAAAATCATGAAATTTTTTAGAAATAGTAAAATAATGTATGTCTTTAAATTTTGAAATTAGAAGCCAGGGAAGAGGTAAAAGGTAAAACAAATTAAAACATTTAGTTTCATATTGGGCTGGAGCGATAGCAGAGTGGTAGGGCGTTTGCCTTGCACGCAGCCAACATGGTCGACCCGAGTTCGATTCCTCCGCCCCTCTCGGAGAGCCCGGCAAGCTACCGAGAGTATCTCGCCCGCACGGCAGAGCCTGGCAAGCTCCCCGTGACGTATTCGATATGCCAAACACAGTAACAACAAAGTCTCCAATGGAGACGTTACTAGGCCTGCTCGAGCAAATCGATGAACAATGGGAGGACAGTGACAATGACATGGAACCAACAAGAGTTTACAAATTTTTAAAGGTTTACTATCTCTGAACTAAGGAAGATAATAATTTTTCTTTTCACAGTGCTGTGACCTACTCTGGAATCCATCTGTTGAGATGCTTTCTAGCAACTATAACAGGAAATCTCAAGGCTTAGTAACTTCCAATTTAGCTGAAGATTCCAAGCTCTTCATGCCAACTAAACAGTTTTATTCCAACATTGTTTTAAATGTTGTGTTTCAGTAACTGGTGAAGAATCATGTCAAATTTAAAACCTCATCTTCCCAAAGCAAACATGAATTCGTGCATGGTGGAGAAAAAGGTTTGTAAATGGCTGAATTATGTTGTTCAGTAGAATAGATACTAGCAATTTTTCCTATTTTAATAAACTGTCAAACAAGAATATGAGTTCATAATTTCATGAAATCATGGGAAAATGAAAAAGGAAAGTCAGGTAAGGATGCACTGAGTGAATACCATAAGGAACAAAGGTTCCCAAGATTATTTGGCCTACTATCACTTTTTCAGTTAAAAAAAAAATCAATTACCCTTCCTCCCAGTGGCACCCAAGGATACTACCACAATCCCTGACCTGAATCATTTTTGTATCCTCGGGACAGTGTTGCTGACTCCAGCAAACCCTGACAGATGCAACATACTTGATCTTGAGATGAGCAACCTCATGAAATTTGCCTCTGAATCATTTTTGAGAGACAAGACTTTGACCTTATACTTCTTCCAAATTCTGCATACCCAATTGCAAAGTTCTCCTCAAATCTGATACTGAAGAGGGCTATGATGATAAGTAACACTAGGGAAGTCTTCTTATAATTCTTATTCATACGATACCTCTTGTGTTCTAAAACAACCAAAAGTGACAAAATTGGTATCCACAGGGCCAGAGAGTACCATGGGTAGGGCACATGCCTTGCACAATTCTCGGTTCAATCCCCAGCACCCCTATGGTCCCCCAAGCACCACCAGGAGTGATCTCTGAGTGTAGAGCAAGAAGCAAGCCCTGAACAGTACCCGGCAGCCACAAAAAACAAAATTGGAATTAAGATGACAATTTCAAATCTAATTTACAAGGTAAAGTACAATTTTATGTATTTTATATCACTCTTAAGCATTTGAATTTAAGTTGCTTGGGGAAATTAGCTGATATGAAATACTGTATTACATTCCTCACAGATAAATGCAAATGATTATTTCTGTGAACACATAAATGAAATTTTACTATTTTCTACAGATTTTTAGGGGGCAGGAGATTAAAAAAAAAAGAGATGAAGAAACCTCTAAAAGAACATGAATGAAGGGCCAGAAAGATAGTACAGGGGTTAATGCTCTTGCCTTGCATGTAACCAACCCTGGCTAAAGCCCCAGCACTGCATTCAGTCCCCTAAGCAGCACCAAGAGTGATCCCTGAGCACAGAGCCAGGAGTGGGGACTGAGCACTGTTGGGTGAGGCCCCCAAAACAAATTAAGTAGAAAATAAATGCAAGGCATGTAGTTCAATTCATACTTCAGAGTGCTTCATCAGACAACTCTCTAAAACAACTGTTTTTTCAAATCGTCTCTATGAAGTTTTTCAGTTTTAAAAGTTAATTGTCAGGGCAGGAGCAATAGCACTGCAGGTAGGACGTTTGCCTTGCACATGGCCGACCCAGGTTCAATTCCCCGCATCCCATATGGTCCCCCAAGCATCACCAGGAGTAATTCCTGAGTGCTGAGCCAGGAGTAAACTCTTTGCACCGCTGGGTGTGACCCAAAGAGGAGAAAAAAAAAAAAGTTGATTGTCCATCCAAGTGCTAACCAGGACTGACCATGCTTAGTTTCCGAGATGGGACAAGATCTGGCACATTCAGGGTAATATGGCCAACGTAAACTTTAAGGTACTTCCTTTCAATTCCCCACCCACACTTTACACAGATGTTTATAACCTTGATTCTTTGGTCTCGACTCCCTATAAATATAATATTCAGGGGGCTGGAGCAATAGCACAGTGGGTAGGGCGCTTGCCTTGCACGCAGCCAACCCGGGTTCGATTCCCAGCATCCCATATGGTTCCCCGAACACCGCCAGGAGTAATTCCTGAGTGCATGAGCCAGGAGTAACCCCTGAGCATCGCTGGGTGTGACAAATATATATATATATATACACACATATGTAAATATATATATATATATAACATTTAGGTTTAGCACCTCAAACAGAGGTGTCAAACAGAGGTGTATTAAGCCTCAAACAGAAAAAAATCACATCAGCTTCTCATGGGCAGGAAATGTTAGTTTTTTTAAAAAAATCTACCTGGCAAAAAGCCAGTATTTGACCAAAATCAAACACTGCACCGATTAAACCACCACAAAATGTTATCAAAGTTTATTGAACAGGAACAAACTGCTCTACAGTGACAGCATCACAGCTCTTGGAGTTCAAGGGATACGTCAAGTATTTCCAGTTGTCAGCATCCCACTTAAAACAGTGGAACATGAGGTCAGTTTGTTCGTCACTAGAATCTCACATACAAGCAACTATACTCCCATTAAGGCAAAAATATCATCAATGTCATCTGTCTTCTTAATGGTTCCTGGAGTATCATGTTTGCTTATGTGTATCGCTGTACGTGGCTTCATTTTATTGCCGTTGCTTTCTGCACAGTTTTCTAAAGTTTGCTTCCCCAGGGTTTGGGTGACAGGACTGGAAATTCTGTTCCTCCGAGGCTGCCTTCTACGAGGCGAGAGGTCAGGTCTCAGAACTGTCTGCCCTGAGACTCTCCGTTTACTGGTCCCTGCAGTGGCCCTGGTCTCTGTGGGATACTGCTGCTGAATTTCCATTAAAAGAGTCGGCTGCAGCTTTCTCTGTGGTTTCCTCTGTCTGGTTAAAAATTTCCTCTGTGGTCGCTGTCTCAGATGACGCTTTGAAGTTCTGATCCCTGAGCCACGAAGGAGGCAGTTGCAAATAGATGTCTTTATGCACTCTAGTTTCTTTGGTAAACTTAAAAGAGAAAAAGGAAAAATCTGAGATTAAGACGCAGAAAACATTTCTCAAAAACTTCTGACTTCTAACAAGAATAAAATACACAATTGATCTCCAAGTTATGCCTGTGTACAACCCTAGAATTGTAATAAAAATAAATAGAAGCTTCAACCCAAATCTGAACACAATTTCTCTCTGATTTGGGCTGTAGATCGATGTGTCACCATTATATTCCCAAAGTTTGGTAGCTCCTACAACAGCACTGATGTACACTGAAATTCCTCTCCATTATTCAGTGCAGGAGGTTTCCAGATAACGGAAAATAAGTAGAACCAGGGAATGGATGCATCACGAACAGAAAAATCTGCCAGGCTGCCATTAGTCCATATCTGGATATACAACATCATGTTGTAAGAGGAAATGAAGAAGGACACAGGAACAAAAGGGAAAGAAGAGTTGATTCCAGCCCCGTCTCTGACGGGCGACCAAACAGGGCCCGGACTGTGTCAATCTCAACCCTGGCTCCTGCCAGATGTCTGTGTCTGAACCAGATACCCTCACCAGCCCCAACAGTCCTGACTGTATTAACGAGGGTCCCTTTCCCGCTGGCCACCCATTGCCTGCCTTCAATGGGGGTGGCCCGGGACCAACCCAGTCCCTTTCATTGGCTCTATTTGCCCCCTCTTCACTTGCTCTTTTGCCACAGTTAAAGCTGGACAGCCAGAGAAACAGGATAGGGAGGGCACTTGCCTTGCATGCAGCCAACCCACCCACATTCCCCAGTACCACAGACGGTCCCGGAGTCCCACCAGAGGGATCCACGAGCAAGGCCAGGCCAAGAACCACAACAAAACAAAACAAAAACAAACACTGTCCTCCTGCTGTTCATCGATTTGCTCAAGCGGGCCCAGTATGTCTTTTTTTTTTTTTTTTTGAGACTTGTGCGTGCAGGCGAGATACTCTCGGTAGCTTGCAGGGCTCTCCGAGAGGGGCGGAGGAATCGAACCCAGCTCAGCCGGGCTGGCTGCACGCAAGGCAAACACGCTACCGCTGTGCTATCGCTCCTGCCCAACAAAACAAAAACCAGAAAATAAAATATAGCTGTAGGTGGAGAGCTTCCATCTGGGGGGGCGGGGGAGGGGAGAGAGTGACAGAGGGAGAAAGAGACAGTGACAGAGAGAGTATGGTCCTAGCATAGACTCATAAACTCACTTGCCATGTTCTTCCTCCTTTTGGGATTCAGAACTCCAACATTTAGATTGTTTTAGGGGTTTTACTTCGAAACAGGGTGTCATGCCACAAGTGCCTAGCTAACTGCCTCACTGGAACAGACTTCAAAAATTTAACATGGGTCTGTCTTCCCTACAACACCACTCTCCTCTTTGCCTTTTAAAAGAAATAAAGACTTTAAAGACACCTATTATAAAGCAATAATTCATGGCATCTGTCTCCAAAGCATTTTTTCTATTAGTGATGTTTCAGTGGGGGAAAGTTGCTGTACCTCCTAATTGAAACAAAGGAACAGGAGAATTAGAAGGATCCGAACTGACTTCCAGATCTCTAATTTTAACGGCCAAAACAAAATAAACAAAATAAAATTGTTTCCCCTTAAGAGTGGCCATTAAAAAAAACCTTAAAATTTGCTGCATATATAATACTGAAAATGGCAAAAAAGAGCAGTAAAAAAGAATTAATGATTTTAAAAGTTTTGTCTGGGGGCCTCACCAGCGATGCTCATGGCTTATATCCTGGCTCTGCACTCAGGTGTCACCCCTAACTGGCTCAGGGTCCACAGGGGGATCTGGGAGAACCCTGGCCGGCTACATTAACGGCCCCAAGAACAATACATTTTTGTAAGAGTAATAGTTTAACAAAATAGATACCAATTGGTGTATGACCCCAATTGTGAATCTTTATCATCTCTGCCTCATCTAATTCTGACTTGAACCCAATCTAGAACAGAACAGTTCTATCCATCTCCGGCTATTTTTGCCCAAGAATTTTTTAAAATCCCTTTCAGACAACTTAACTACTCGGCTGTAAGGGACCTCAGGGTAAAACCCCTCCAGCAAGTCATTCCTGAGCAGTCCTTAACTCAGCTTTCGACCTCAGCAGAGCCCTGAACCAGGCACTCATGGAGCAAGGGTCCAGAATTATTTCTTGAAGGCCCTGTAACTAGTCAGCATGGCTGCCTCTGAGAGGAACTTCGTGGCCATGTGTGCCTGAAATTCTCATGAATGTCTGTTATTTGAAATAAAAATATGAAACTGTAAATTGTCTAACTTCACGCATTACTTTCAACAACATAGGCTCATAATCAAAAATAACCAGTTCTATGGCTGGAAGAATCAGAGGGAGGAGGAAAATATCACTAGCTGGGCGTCCAGCCCCCATGAAAGGTCATTAGCGGGCCCTGACCCTGCCAGAAGGTGCCCTCACAGCAGCCCCCCCCCACCACCACCGCCGCCGCCTTCTGCTTTTATATTCTCCGCCTGAGTGGAAACTGCGGGAGACTGGCCAGATGTCCTTGTAGAACTACAGCTCCAAGAGGATTAAATTCAGCACAAGGTTAAAATTCAAGACATAAAAGGCTCCTGTAAAACTTACCAGAAAAAAGCAATACACCCCATCAAAAAATGGAGAGAAGAGACGAACAGAAACTTTCGCAAAGAAGACACAGATGACCGACTAGTATATGGGAAAATACTCTTCATTCCTTATCATCAGCGAAATGAATTGAGCTTCCATATGACCCATCAATCCCACTTCTTGGCATCCACCCAAGAGCCCAAAAATCTATTCAGAAAAGACACCTGCACTTCTAGGTTCATTGCAGCATTATT